TCAAATATGGCGGTGCCCATAGACACAAGATGGTGGCACCCAGTACTCTCAGCCCTGCAGGGGCAGCAGGTGCATGGCAAGCCTGGGCCCGTGGACTCAGCCTCTCTGCACGCCTGCCTCTAGAGTCCCCCAGTCCCTTTAGCCCCCCAGCCACCCAGGATTGGCCCAAGGCACAGGCAAGCCTCAGATGTTGGCTGCCCAGCTGCCCAGGGCTGGCTTGAGGCACAGGCAACCCTTGGATGGCAGCTTCCCAGCCACCAGAGTCAGCCTGAGGTGCAGGCTAGCCTTGAATAGTGGCTGCTTAGCCGACCAGGGCCACCTGAGGCTTAGGTAACCAGGGCCAACAGAAGCTTGTGCTGCCAGCAGTGGCAGCAGCAGAAGTGTGATAGGTCGTCGCCTTCCCCTGATCGCCATGTCGCCTCCCACCCCTGAGGGCTCCAAAACTGTGAGAGACGGCAGGCCGGGCTGAGGGACACTCTCTCCAGTGCATGAATTTTCATTCACCAGGCCTCTAGTATCCTTATATAAACATATCCAATGGCAGGAAAATGGCAGTTTTTCCTCATCTATCTTTTTTCATCAGGGAAGAAAATTTATCTTAGAAGTTTCCTGGATATTTCTTTCATCTGCCACTAGTTCAGATAAAGTTAGGTGCCTATGTCTTAATTAAAGGGAACCTGGGAAAGTATCTGTCTTTTTTTAATATATATTGTGGAAGTGTGTGTGTGTGTATGTGTGGTGGTGTTGTTCTTGGACAGACAACCAATAGTGTCTGACACAAGCAATATGATAAAATCTCAGTCCTCTTTCAAGAAGCTTTGTGTCGCCTGGCTGGTGCTCAGTGGTTTAGCATTGACCTATGGAGGTAACGGTTCAATTCCCAGTTAGGGCATATGCCTGGGTTGTGGGTTCAATTCTGTGAGGTGTGCTACAGGACACCACTGATCAATGATTCTCTCTCATCATTGATGTTTCTATCTCTCTCTCTCTCTCTCTTCTCTCTCCCTCTCTGAATCAATAAAAAAAAAAAGTGTTTTTTTTTTTTTTTAAATGAAGCTTTATATTTCTCAGGGTGGAAAGAAAAGCTATAATTATATTACAAGTAGAGGTTGGGTGCATTAAATTCGTGCATGGGTAGGGTCCCTAGGCCTGGCTGGTAATCAGGGCCAATCTGTGGGGCGACCAGTGGGGCATCAGGGGTGCCCACCAGCACCCACCTTGGCTGCCCTTTTGCCATCCACTTGCCAGCCCCACCCCCTGCTGCTGATTGCCTCTCTCTCTGGGGCGATTGGCGGGTGATCAGGGGACCCCTGCTGGCACCGGCCTTGGCTGGCCTGGGGGCTGCTCCTGTGTTGAGCATCTGTCCCATGGTGGTCAGTGCGTGTCATAGTGTCCAGTTGTTTCACAAGTTGTTCTGCTGTTCCATCTTTTTGCATGTTAGGCGCTTATTATATGGGATTTCTATGTGGTAGTTTCCTGTACACATTCATGGACTTCAACCTAACAATTTGTTTTAAATTGATAAAAGAAAAGTGCTCTATGTACTTTCAATTTGGAGCTGCCAAAAGCTGTTCTCACTCACTTGGGGAGATGAACACACAATACAATATACAAATGATATATTACAGTACATCTGAAATGTATGTAATTTTATTAACCAATGTCACACCAATAAATTCAATAAAATTTTAAAATAACTGTTCTTTCTCATTAAAGTGATGTTCTCTTTCTCCAAAATGTTCTTGTCCTTCTATCTCCAATGCCAGAATTCCATTCAAACCTTTATAGAAAGCTAAAAATATTCTAATTTATTTCATTTATTCAGCAAGTATCTGTTCATTCCTACTATGTTCCAAGTATTCTGAAATGTTGGGGATATAGGACCTGAGCTCTGAGCTTACAGTCATGTGGGGAAGAATGACAATCTACCTAATAAAAGAGTAACATGCTAATTGACCATACCTTCATGATACCTACCAGCTAATCAGGAGTGAGTATGCAAAATATCCCAACAAAGATAGCTGGTTAATTTGCATACATAGGCTCCCAGCAGATGGGGATGGGGTGGGATGCAGGCATTTTGCACCACCCCAGCCACTCTGGGCCTGTGGGAAGGCAGAAAGGCTGCTCTGGCCAAAGTGAAGGCAATGCCAGCAGCTAGGATAATGACAGTCTATTCTTGCACGAATCCTATTTGTGCATCAGGTCACTAGTGAATAATAATTAAATGATGGGGAAGAATAGGGTACAATGGGAGGACAGTCAGGGATATTTACACTTGCTGGGGATGAGAGAAGACAGAAGAAGAATTTTTAAAGATGATACCTGAAAGATGGATAGAAATTGGGGAGTAGAAGGAAGGGAAAAAGAGAACAGTGTGTAGAAAACTATGGAAGTGAAAGTGTTGGTGAAAGCACCCTTGAAAAAGGCCTCTTTAATTCTTCCTTCTCCCAAGTAATTTCTCCATTTGATGAACTCCATAGCACTTAATATGTAACTTTTAGACTATGTTTTACTCTGAAGGCAAAAGATATGATTTACACACGTTAGTCAGTAAATATGAATGTAGCTGCAGAAGGGAATGAGGCCTTATATGTCAATGCAAAATACTACCTTAAAACATCTGAGGTTTTAAATAATTCTCTTCCAAATAATAGGAAGAGCATCACCTGTCTAGGGTACAGAGGCCAAAGCAGCATGGAGGAATTGATTCATAAAGTTTTGAGGAAGTCCAAAATAATTATAATCTCAATTCTCAGGTGTTACTTTAAAGGCAATTTCAGGAAACAAAGAAAACCTGATAACTATCAGAAAGAAAAAAAATAGCTACTCTTATTAGCAAGAGCTTTTCTTTTTAAATAGTCTCTTGGTATTGGCTGTTCTTTGTGTGTGCCAGGGTTCTGAGTTACTGGTTGGGAAAGCTTTCTCAAACCTGACAAGCTACTTTTTAAAGCAAATCATAAAAAATCATACTAGTTTTTAATTGTCCTCGTCAAGGATAGAGATTATTTTTTTTGGACGCTGTCTCGTAGAATGGAGAGGCGTGACTGAAGTATGGTGAGATGTGGATACAAGTTTCTCTAATTCTATGATTCTTAATCTTTTGTTTATTAATCTCTTCTTTATAGGCTTTGCTTTTTTAAAAGTTTTAGATTTGCAGAAAAGTTGAGCAGATACTACAGAAAGTTTCTATATACCTCTCCCCTGCTGTTTCATCTTACATTAATATTTGCCACCACTAATGAATCAATATTGATCATTGTTATCAATTAAAGCCCCATTTATTCAGATTTCCTTAATTTTTGTTTATTTTTTTTTATTAGAGGATCCTTTTCAGCTTAGTTGTCATATTAGTTATATTCATATTACACTTGTCATTTTTCCTTGGGTTCCTCTTAGTTGTGACATTAACCTTCATATTTGGGTCATGAACTGGTTTGAAAATCTGCTGCACACTGTGGATCCTCTCCGAAGAAAAATGCTCCTGCTTCAGATGTCTGATTTAAGGGAGGCCCATCCTTTGCAGGTTCAGAAGTCCTGCTTTAGGCGGAATGGATGATCTTTAAACCATCCCCTTACTCACATTTGGCTCAACCAGGCTCTACCTCAAATTATTGTGTGACCTTTTCGCAAAGTTGTTTTTTGTGTTGCACCCTTCCCCCCATGGGCCTCAATTTCACTGTCTGTGCAATGAGGGGTTTGTTTTCCATGATGGTACAGTAGAATGTGGTAGTCACCTAGAGCTGTGAACATCTGAGGAAGACGCATAACAGATGACCAAGCTAGGTCATCCCAGGGAAGTGACGGGCTTATCAATAAGGAGGTTGTGAAGACTCAATGAGGAGAGAGAGAGAAAAGCCAATACCTAGGTTCCACCTTATTTTTGTGGATTTTGTTAGATAATTTCCTTCCTCAGTTTTACTTTCCTCTTCTGCAAAACTGGGGGCCCCTTCTTCTAGTAGTTATGAAATTCCTGGGAGCATCAGCTTAGAATGTACCTAATAAGTATTCGTGTGATGATTTTCAAGGCAAGAGGGGGGTCGGTGCACGGTGAAGGGCGGAACTGGGGACTGTGAGGCAGGGCTGAAGGCTCGGGACAGAGGAACTTGGCACACATCTTGGTTGCACGACCACACCAGTACATTGCAGGGCTCCATTCCACCTCCATTCCGCTCCCACCCCGCCCCCCTTTACTTCCCCGCCCTCTGGCTTCGAGGCGCCACACTTCGCATGGCCGCCGCGACGCGACGCTTTCTACCCAGCGAGGGCCGCGCGCGTTCTCGCCGCCACCTCACGCCCGTCCCGCCTTTGGTCGCTTCCGATTGGTTCATCACGATGTGACGCATCCCTTTCCTCCGCTTATTCCACCCGCCTCACTTCCTCCGGGCTCCGTCCCGCCTTCCTCCTAGCTTCTAAAGACTTGAGTAGAGACCAAACAAGCGCTGGTCTAAGCTTCGCGGGAGGAGCCGGGAGAGCTGGCTGACCCAGGAAGACGCTGGCAGTGGCGCGCACGCACGCACGCACGCACACGCACGCACGTACGCACGCCAAGGCCGGCGGGGCGCAGGCTCGTGCCCGGGCTCGCCCTGCGCCGCCAGAGGCACGCGCACTCAGCAGGCTGGGCTGCGGCGGCTGCTGTGGGAACCGAGGCGCTGCGTGTCAGAGGTCCCAGACGGCTGCGGCTCCGGCTCCGCCACCCTCCGCCGCCCACCCGAGTCTCCGCGCCGAGTGCTGAGGACGACGCGGCGCCAGCCCCGAGATACCGCCCTCCTTCCCTATCCCAGCCGCGGGCCGCGCTCGGTGCTAGGCGACTTCGCGGGGAGGCGGCGGCGACGGTTGCCTCTCAGTGAAGAGGAGTCCTGCCCCAGCCTTTGCTCCGCCGCCCGGCCCTGCAGGGGCCGAGAGAGCGCGGGCATCCGCCCTTCTCGTCAGCCGGTGGGAGCAGCGTCGGTCCGGGAGGGTGTCTGGGCTGAGGCGGCAGCCGCTCCTCCGGCTCCATCATGTCCACGGGCGGAGACTTCGGGAATCCGCTGAGGAAATTCAAGCTGGTGTTCCTGGGGGAGCAGAGCGGTGAGTGCGCGGCGCCCCCACTCCTGGCCGCTGGCCGCAGCCGCCCCCAGTGCGGCCCTTCGGTCCTTCGGAGGCTCCCCGCCGGCCTCGCCTTCGCGCTGGGTTCCACCCCCAGCCCTTCCCCGGGTTCACCGACCCCTCGGAGCCACGGTTCCTTTCCGCTTCGATCCAGTCAGCCGGCTTTTGACCCTTCCGTCCGCGATGCCGGCGTCTCCTCTCCCCGCAGCCCGGCCTCCCCCCCTCCAGTCTCCTCCCCACTCCGCCCAGCCCCAGCCTCTCGTCCTTCCCTTTCTTCCTCCGGTGTCTCACCCACCCAGCCCCCTTCGTTGAGCCCCACCCTTGTCCCTTGCTCTTGTCCCAGCTCTTCAGCTCTGGGAGGCCCCCTCTGGCCGGTCCCATTCCCGGGAACCGGGAGCCAGCCTCTTCCACCTTGGGCCGGGCGGGTGGGATCTGGGCGTTGTTTTCCCCAGAGGCCGGGCCCTGAGAAGTGCGGGTCTCAGGGAAGTGGGGGGTCGTGTAAAATTCTTGGATAGTTTCCTTTCACCTGGGTGGGGGATCAGTCCGGGTTATAGGGGATGTGTATCTGAATTGGAAGCGACTTGGGGCGGGGGTGGGGGTGGGGGGAGTGGCGGCAGCAGCGGCGATTTTTGCCCCTTGGGTTAGGCTATGGCTGGTGGGAAAACCTCCCTTTCTTCTCTTGACTTTCATTCCTGACATTTCTTTTGACAGTGCTCTGATGCTTTCCCCGATTTCTGCCAGATGCTATGTCATGATCGTTTTGCTTGGAATTTTTCACATCTCACCTCTCCCTTTTCTCGTTTCTGTATGAAGCAGTGTCTGATTCTCCTCAGGGTGGTGCAATTACTGAGGGGACTGCTGAGGAAAATGTTAGTTACTCCATGTCTTCTTGAGTATTTCCCAAATTTATTTACGATTCCTATGAGAGAAGATTTGAGAATGACGAACATCTTTGTTTGGAGGATTTCTTTTGGGGTTAGAGAGTGTTGGAGTAGGAATTGATTCATCGTTTAGCTTTTAAAATTAGGTTTAATATGTAATACCTCTTCAGCTAAGTGACTCTTTTATGCTTAATATTCCATAGTATCTGATAAGTGAAACTGTTTTCTCATTTACCTGGTCAGCCTTGGGCTGTTGCTGTAGTTTGTATTCGATACAGGATCCTAATAGTGTGATGGTTGTCTCTAAAATTACTTTCTGTGGTAATTCCAATTTTATGCTGTATTATGCAAACTTGATACTTGACAATTTAGAGATTATAATCCTTTGTTTTTTTCTTACACTTTTCATGGTCATCTTTAGAATCCACTCATTGAGAGATTAGTTTCTCCCAACTCTTCAAACATTGAGTTAGTTTCCGGCTAGCTGTCTTATAGAAAGGTTGGGTTATAGAAAACATTTATCTTTTGGTTGGAAAGAAGATAACTGATACAAGTTCAGAACTTTAATCATGTATACTAACACTAACTAGGTCAGTTATTAGTTGCAAAATTGCTTCTAGTTGGACCTGAGAAATTACTTTTCTCCTTTTCAACATATTTTCCCTCCCCTACTTACCGAGGAAAAATGCAGTCTTCTCTTTGCTTATGACTTTTCCTGAAGTAAGTATAATCTTGTTTCTTTTTTTAATTGATTGATTGATTGATTGATTTTAGAGGGAGCGGAAAGGAGGCACGGTGGTGACAGACACAGATAGAGAGACATTGATTTGTTCTACTTATTTATGCATTCTTTGGTTGATTCTTGTATATGCCCTGACTGGGAATTGAACCTACAACCTTAGTGTATTGGATAATGCTCGAACCAACCAGGGCCAGAACAATTTTAGATTTATAGAAAAATTGAAAAGAGCATGCAGAGGGTTTCCATATAGCCCCACCCAGTTTTCACTATTATTATCTTACATTAGTATGGTACATTTGTTACAATTAATAAACTAGTATTAATACATTATTAACTAAAGCCCGTAGTTTATTCAGATTTCCTTAGTTTTTGTCTTTTTTGTTTGTTTGTTTCAGCATTAATTTCTGGATAACATATTTAGTTGTCTTCTTAAACTCCTTGTAGAATTTTTATTTAGGATTGTTTGTATGCTTTTTATTTTTAACTCTATGTAACTGTGAGGTTAATATCTTTTGAGGTTACTATATTTCTAAGTAATACCATCCAATAGCTTTGACAATGACAGATTGATCTTTGTTTTTATGGGCAATGTTTGTAATTTTTTTGTACATTAGCAAAGATCTGTAGAATCCATGTCATCTTGATGTAACTCTTTATGAATTATTTTTCTTTAGGTTTTAGAATTCCACAATTCAGCTTTCAGAGACTAAATCTGTGGTAAAGCTTTGTTCGTTTCCTTAATAGCATTTACCACATTTATAATTCTTATTTTTTTATGTGTTTGTTTTTGTCTTATTTCCCATAGCAGACAGAATGCAAGCAAGCCCCATCCATGACGATTAAAAACTTTTTTGTTGTTATTCATTGTATTCCCAGTGCCAGGCTCATTTTCTACTTGAAATATTTGGTGAATGAATGGTTGAATCTAAAAGTAACCAAAGCTATAGCCTATATTAATCTTTGCTGTGGAGAGACCTACATTTTTTTCTTCTACAATTAATGGTTTAACAATAACATTTTATATTTACATTATTTTATATATCCATTATTCAGGGATACTGCAGATGCTTAGCTGGGACAGGGAACCCAGTAATTTATTGTTCTCACCATTTCACTGAAAAAAAAGAAAAAGAAAAAGAAAGACTGGCCAGGTTTTCACACTTTTTTTTTGAGTTGAGCAAAATTAGTTTTATTTTGTTAAAGCTATTACTAAATATTTGCTATTAGTATAGCACCTAATAGTATGTCAAATGACATTAAGACATGTTCAGGGAACTGATTTGAACTTAGGTAGTAGACTGTTTTATTTATGTTATAAAAAATTTAAGGTCTGCTGAAACCAGTTTGGCTCAGTGGATAGAGCGTCGGCCTGCGGACTGAAAGGTCTCAGGTTCTATTCCGGTCAAGGGCACGTACTTTGGTTGTGGGCACATCCCCAGTAGGGGGTGTGCAAGAGGCAGCTGGTCAATGTATCTCTCTCATCGACATTTCTAACTCTCTATCCCTCTCAATTCCTCTCTGTGTAAAATCAATAAAATATATTTAAAAAAAAAATTTAAGGCCTTATGGTATGTATGACCATACATTGTTTCAGTACACGAAGCCTCAGATTGAATAAATGGCATCAATCTTGGTAGTCTTCCTATAAACTCTTATGGTTTATAGGAAGGGATAGAGAGGGATAGAGAGTTAGAAACATCGATGAGAGAGAATCATCGATCACCTGCCTCTTGCACACCCCCTACTGGGGATGTGCCCGCAACCAAGGTACATGCTCTTGACCGGAATCAAACCCGGGACCCTTCAGTCCGCAGACCGACGCTCTATCCACTGAGCCAAACCAGTTTCGGCTCTTATAATTTCTTTATATTTAAGTAGTGTACATGGTTTAATAAAGGAATGTTGAAATACTTAATTTGAATCTGAAGTTTCTTTGAGAATTCCTTTTTTACTACCTGTCACTATTATCTTGAAATGCAGAGGTACTTTTAGGAATGTCATTTTGATTTACTGTAGAAGATATTACTACAAACAAATATTGTAGGTTACAAATTAGGAAATGTGATATCAGGAAAAAGCACATACATAGCCTAGTACTGCTTGTTTTTCATGGTATTTAAAAAAAAATTTTAACATCATTTCTATTTCTTTTAAAAAAATAATTCTTTAAACATTCTTTTAAAATTTTGATGAGAGAGAGAGAGAGAGAGAGAGATATGGATGGATATATTAGAGGGAAACATTGACTGGTTGCCTCTTGTAAGTACCTGACTGGGAATGGGCAACCTAGGTATGTATCCTGACTGGGAATTGAGTCTGTAACCTTTCGGTGTATGGGGATGATGTTCCAACCAACTGAGCCATGCCGGCCAGGGTTACATCAGTTTTTTTTGTTTTTTTTTTAAACATATTTTATTGATATTGATTTTTTACAGAGAGGAAGGGAGAGAGATAGAGAGCCAGAAACGTCGATGAGAAAGAAACATCGACCAGCCGCCTCCTGCACATCCCCCACCAGGGATGTGCCCGCAACCAACGTACATGCCCCTGACCGGAATCGAACCTGGGACCTTTCAGTCCGCAGACCGACGCTCTACCATTGAGCCAAACTGGCTTCAGCTACATCAGTTCTTTTGACTTAAAAACATTATTTTTCTATGAGAGACTAGGAATACTGAACAATTTAGGTTGGCTAGATCAGCGAACTTAAACTTTTTTAAAGATGGGTTATGCACTTCCTAATTATTGAGGCCTCTAAAGAGCTCTGTTAATGTGATTAATTTGTTATTTATTGACCTGAGAGAAAGAGACACTGGTTTGTTGTTCCACTTATTCATGCATTCATTTGTTGATTCTTGTATGTGCCCAGTCCAGGAATGAAATCCGAGACCCTTTGATACTCAGACCTACACTTGAACAACTTGAACAGTACCACCGCTCAGTGTGTGTGTGTGTGTGTGTGTGTTTTAATCTAAAAATAAAGATAATATGGTCTATCATGTAAACTTAATGTAAAGATTAAGTTATTTAATAAGTGTATTTAAAAGAGTGCCTGGCACATGAGAAGAGCTTAGTAAATATTTTAATTTAACAATGTTAACTAAAAACTGCTATAGCCAGTTCACTTAATGGTTAAGAGAACCGTCCCACTAACCTAAGGATCTCGGGTTCGATTTCTGGTCAAGGGCACATACCTTAATTGTAGGCTCGATTCCCGCCCTGGTTGGGGCATATGTAGGAGGCAACCGACCGATATGTCTCTCTTACACATGTTTCTCTCTCCTTCTCCCCCCTCTCCTCTACTCTCTCTTAAAAAAGAAAAAAAATCAATGGAAAAAATATATTTGGATGAGGATAAA